CTGAAGACCTGCAGTTGAGTCAGCAAGCTGGAGACCCAGCAGAGCCAATAATGCAGTGCCAGTCTGAATCTGAAGGCCTGAGAACCAAGAGAGCAAATGGTATGATTCCAGTCTGACGACTGGCAGACTCAAGGGTTAGGAAGAGCCAATGTTTCATTCAGTTTGAGTCTGAATGCAGGAAAAAGCCAATATTATAGTTCAAAGGTGGTTAGGCAGGAAGAATTCACTTTTATCTGGAGGAAGGTCAGCCTTTTTGTACGATTCAAGTCTTCAGTGGATTGGAAGAAGCCCACCTCCATTAGGGAGGGCAATCTTACTTTACTCAATTGACCAATTTAAATGTTAATCTCATCCACGGATGCCCTCACAGAAACACCCAGAATAATGTTTGACCAAATATCTGGGTACCCTATGGCCTGGTCATGGTGACACATAAAATTAATCATCCTGAGACTGTTGTGTGATGTCTTTGAGTGTGGGATGAACACAGTGACTCACTTTTAAATAAGCAAATAGGGTGAGGTGTATCTTCTGAGACAAACATACAAGACTGTGATTCTGTTTTGCTCATATTCCTCTCTTGCTTTCACTTGCTGGCTAGGATGAAGCGAGCTGCCATGATGTGAGCTTCCCTATGGCCAGGCCCACATGGGCAGCCTCTGCCTGACAGCCAGTGAGGAAGTAAGGGCCTATTGTAACAGCTCTAGAGAAGCTGAATCCTGTCAATAGCCACTGAAGGATCTTAGCAATTGATCTACTTTGAGTGATGCCTTCAGGTGACTGAACGCCCAGTCCACAGCTTGACTGCAGCCTTGTGAGTGACCAGAGCCATGTCTAGACTCCTGCCCCACAGAAACTGTAAGATAATAAATGTTTGTTGTTTTAAGCCACTAAGTTTTGGGGTCATTTGTTACACAGCAATAGGTAACTGACACAGAGTGTGTAAATAACTGAAAGGTAGTGAATAATGAAACAAATGAAATAAATTGAGGGAAAACATATTCAAACTTAACTTTCAAAAAAGGCGTCATTGGGGACTGGTGGAGAAAAAGCTGTCCCCTAAATTTCCATCTGTGTTCTACTTCCAAAAGGAGGATGGCTGTTGGGAGGACAGATTAAGCCCCCTTTGGCCCTGTAGCAGGCTGCCCAGATGGCACCTCCAGGATAAAGGCCAGATCCTCCCTGCTCTTCCCTTTACTCCTGAGTAAAGTGAAATGAGTCTGGAGGTAGCTCCCCTCCTGGAGTGTCCTCCTTTTGTGACCTGCCTCCCCTTCCCCCAGTCAGTCAGGCCCTGGGGAGGATGGCCCAGGGCAGCATCGTACTAGGTGCTGGACCAAATTCACTTTTCTTCCTTCAGTTTTTCTTGTTAGCAGAGGTGTTCTCGCCATTGCATCACAGAGGCAAGATTCAGGATTTGGATTTAGGCTTCAAGACTGATGTAGACAGAGGCCTTTGGTCAGCCTCTCCTAGGCTCCTATAGCAGATCCGAGTGTGTTGGGGTCCAGGCAGTGTACCAGAGTTCTGCACTGCAGGTTTAAAAGGAAAGCTCCAGCAAGTAATTGTCATTCCCTCCCCCTGGTGTTTTAGGGTGTGTGTGCATGCACACGTGTGTGCATTTGTGTGTCCGTCATTGGGTGAGGGTGGTTTCATACGGGCTTGTACCTCCCTCAGGGATGACATGGTCAGGATCAAGGATAGGATTCAGGGATTCCAGGATATTTTGGATAATGTTCCCTCAATGACACCCCTAACCCATCATTTCCTGATAGGGGCCAAGGTCAAGGACACTGATGAGTCAGCATTTTTCAATGTGGTACCTGAAATAGAGTTCCCTCTGCCCTTGTCAGCTTTGCTGGTATCCCCAGACTAGCACAGCGCCCCCAATGCCCATGGTTCAGGAGCCAGCCTCTTACAGATCCTATTGTTAGCCTGCATGCTTCCTTAGGAAGTAGACACACTGTGTATCAGCGGAGCCCTGGAGCCCTGCTCTACTGTCATCTACCCCCATCCATCACACAGCGTCCTCAAAGTTCCCATGATGGAATAATTCAGGCTGGTCACACTGGCCTTGGGAAGAACAGACCCAGCTATAGCTTGTGGGCTGTGCCCAGGACTTTGGCTTGGCCAGGGTTACTGGATTTCTGGTATGTAAAAGAAGGGAAATAATAACATTATTTCTTTCCAGGGAGCTAATGTGTATGTGCCTTGATGTAAAGGGAAAGGCAAGAAGACAAGACTGGGACTATAGACTGAATGTTTGTGTCCCTGCAAATTCATCTGTTGAAAGCTAATCCCCAAGGAGATGGTATCAGAGGTGAGGTCTTCTGGAGGGGATTGGGGTGTGACAGTGGTGCCCCCAGGAATGAGATTGGTGCCCTTACAAAAGACAGCTCAGAGAGCTTCCTTCTCCCTTCTGCCATGTGAGGACACAGTGTGAGAAGTTACCAGTCAGCTGGAAGTGGGCCCTTGCCATACTCCAAACCTGCCAGTCTTGATCTTGGATCCCCCAGCCACCAGAACTGTGAGGAATAAATTTTAGTTGTACTAGTTATCCAGTTTATGATATTTTGTTACAACGGTTGAATGGGGTAAGACAATTAGGATGTCTTTGATATCAGGGGTTGTATGCATATCCTGTCTATGGATTGCAGCACCAGGCCTGATGTAAGAGTCACCCTTGATGAGTAACAGCTGAGTGAGCCAGCAATGGGTGGACACCACTCAAGAGAAAGAATTAACTGTGGGGGAAAAGAATGGATGAAAAGTTAGAACTTGGGTCTGCACCTCAACTCTGCCACTTTATTAGTGTAGTAGCCTTGGGTGATTCCTTTTTCTGGTACTTAGAGCCAGTTTCTCAATATAAACATGGAGTTATTTATTTCTCTGCCTGTGTGTGTCTGCATATGTACATATGCACAGAAAGACATTTACACCAAATGTCAATGTGGTTGTTTTGGAGATTTGGAAATTGGGTGGTTTCTCCCTTTCTTCTTTGTATTTATTAATATCTGATTTTTAAAGATAAAAATGTAAACCATACCCTAAATGCTGTCAATGTAAACTTGTAATCCTATGATAAAACAATGCAGTCTTTCATACCACTAAGTCTTTGAAATGGAAAGACTTTGCAAAAAGAGTTCCCATAAACCAAATCAAGTAATCATTCCTTCAGTTTCTTTTTTCTCAATTCGTGTGTACTAAAAGGTCTTTGTGTTTAATCTGTCAAGCACATAGTCTTCTATCTTTTTCTTCAGTAATAAGCCTTGGAGGAATCTGTAGAAGGTAACATGAGGACTACTGTTGTAAGGAAGTATCAAAAGAAATAACACATCACCTTACCTGTTAGAGCAGCAAATCTTTCAAAAACCTCAAAGAAAAAAGAAATCAAAAGCAGGAAAAAACTAATATTTAAAAAATGTGAAACCAGTTATCTATTTAACAAATGGAGTGTCACTATGTTTTATTATTTTATATATATATATATATATATTTTTTTTTTTTTTTTGAGAGAGAGAGAGAGAGAGAGAGAGCATGCGGTGCACACAGGGGTGGATGGGTGGAGGGCCAGAGATGGAGAGAGAGAATCTTACGCAGGCTCCACACCCACCACGGAGTCTGACTTGGGGCTCAGTCTCACAACCTTCAGATCATGGCCAAGCTGAAAGTAAGAGCTGGATACTTAGTCAACTGGTCTACCCAGGCACCCCTGTTCTATTAGTATTTATATGTTAACATATATTTTGAAAATTAACAAACACGTTGTTAGCTTTTTTAGGGAGTTTGTGACCATTTTCTGTGCTTCACAAGTCCTGGGGGGCAGATGGGTTCCAAACTGGGTGGCCCTTTATTCCTCCAGCTACACATATTTCCATTCATGGACTTCTAACAATCAAACAGTGCAACCTGCTTCAAAGTACTTACTCAAAATACTGCTTTTCTGCCATAAAGATATTCTCCCAATTGAAATGAGAATTCAGGGTATCCTTGGTGGCTCAGTGGTTTGGCGCCTGCCTTCGGCCCAGGGCATGATCCTGGAGTCCTGGGATCGAGTCCCACATCATGCTTCCTGCATGGAGCCTGCTTCTCCCTCTGCCTGTGTCTCTGCCTCTCTCTCTGTGTCTCTCATGAATAAATAAATAAAATCTTAAAAAAAAATCAGAATTCAATAGGTTTAAATACTTCAACAAATGCTTCAAATGAGATGATAAGCTAACCAGCAGATATTTATTTATTATGCTAAAGTATAGGCACATTTTCCTTTAAATATTTGAGATTCTATCTACAGTGCCTCTGTTATATTCATTCAAATTATTCTTATATTCTAAAACAATGAAGCCTCTAAACTGATGGAATGTTGCCAGAGGATTTCAACAGAGTTTGAAGGCAACATAACCAAAAGGCATAGTTTAAATTGGCTTAGGGAATGAATGGGCTCCTTATCGGAGCAGCTGAAGGCTGTACATAATTAACAGCATCTGTCAACATTCACAGGGCCCCATATAGAACAGGCAGGCCCTCCAGCCCTCCAGAGCAGCAACCTCCAGCTTCTGGTACCTTAAAATCCACAAGACCTAAACAAAAAGACAGCCCTGACCCATCAACAGAAGGACACGGATACATTTTTAGTGATACTAACTAGCAGGACCACAGAGCAACTGCTAATTAATGTTAATTATCTAGAACAATTCTGTTCACATTGGCACTGAGACTTCAAATTAGCTATCATAAAAACATAAAATACTATTTATGGAGATAAGTTTATATTTATAATTACTGATTTTAAAGTCTTTCTTGTGTTATTATTTTTAAGGGGTATGAACATGATCTAATAACCTCCCTTTTTATACGATGCATTCTCAATTTAATTCAGCTTGAATATTTTTCTATCATGAGTATTAAATTCATTCCATGGCAAGTTTTAGTTGTTTTCCTACATATTGAACACATTTCCCTCACAAACATGTACAAAACCAAACTGAACCAAACAAATCCACAGGAAGTTTCATTAAATAAATTTATTTGTTAAAATAATTTAACTCCAAATACAACTGTTGAATTTGCATTGAGTTATAACTACAATTCATGTTTTAATCGAAATGTCAAGGTTTAACAACTGACATTGTTACAAAACAATAAACTGTTGTTCAATTTTAAATGGTCAGTTGTATTAGAGCTCAACAATTAACTGTGAACTATATCTCTGGGAAACCCCAAATCAATAATGATAAGTCTGTTTCCAAAACCCACTGCAGTCATTCTTGAAACCCTGATCAAGATTTAATAGATGCACAATGACACGTTAATTAAAAAGAAAAAAAGACCCCCATAGTCTTTAACATTTGATTGGCAAAGGAGACAAGTAAAGCTTACCAGTGCGAACACAAGGCTAGTGAGAGGAACATCTAACAAAACAAAACAACAAAAACCAACAGCAACAAACAAAATACGCACTTGCACATTCAGACATAACGCAGACAGCATTCCCACTGGAAAACTTCTGAAAACAAACAGCAGACATCCTTAGGCAATATTTCCTTATAAAGAAAAGCAAGTATCAGTAGTTTGACCACAGAAAAGTGATGGCAACTCTAAGCGCTTTGTCAAAAGCTCAGTTCTAATTCTACAAACCAAAGGAGAAAATCATCAAAGCACCTTTCAATAGTTTAAGGAAGATTTTAGGTAATGCTTTTGATCAGATGCTGGCTTGTTTGGTGTAAATCGAACAGAATGAAAGGCGTCAGTTACCATCACTATCACAGCTTAAAAAAGAACCACCCCGCCCAACCCCCCCCCACCCCAAAGCTGCTGCAACAGAAGAGAAAAAATAATTTTTAAAAAACACTGCCTTTGCTTAAAGTTAAACGAGACAAAATGAAAACAAACAGCTAAAGAAAAAGTGGGTCTTTGGATCAAACCATAACATTTTTTAAGGCATGTTAGAAAACTTTCACTTATCTAGTTGCTAGTCTGATCAGGGCGTAAAATCCATCGCGACGCAAGGTCACCGACTTTTCTCTGTAGCCACTGTGACTTCGTGTGCCAACACATTTAATCCTCCTGTTCTTCAGCTTGTTATTAACATCTCAACAAACACATTCATTCAAACTGAGTTATATTCATACCAGATGAAACACCAACAGTAAAAGCACGAGAGGGTTCCCATGTTTCTGGGTATCTTTGATGCTTTGTCACCTAAACACGAAGGGCTGTGTGGAAACACTGATCAAGCAGCCAAATTGGTTCTTATTAACATCTGTACAGTAAAAGCCCGCCTACTTGTCTGACACAAACACTTCAAACGAAAATCTGAATTTGTAGATAATCTTTTTCCATCTTATGTTTTCGCCATACCTTTCGTATTATTTAACTTCTTTTTCTTGTCTGCATAGCGATCCATAATGTAAAACTGTAGTCTTTACAGATGTTTTTAATATGTCATCTTAGTTGTCATAAATTGCTGTTAAATACGGAAATCTAAAAAAAAATCATTCTGAGAAGTTAGAGGCTTCAAATCTCAACCGCTTCTCTGACAGATTTCTATTTCTGTAGATAAAATCATTACTTCTTGAATCTCTGATTTCTCTAAATGTTTTGAGTCGAATCAACTGTTACAGACAGGAACTGGTTTCAAGGAAATTGGTTAGAACTTTCTGTCCTGTAAACAAGGTGCTTCACAATTGGGGGTTATAAAAAACAAACAAACAAACAAAAAACTATATTGAAGGATGCAAATATTCACAATTCAAAGATTTTTGATAATCCCGGCCTGGTGGTACCCACATACCTGTTTTCTCATCTGTGAAGGGTACTGTCCATCTTTTTTGCTATCCTCTCAGCTCAATGCCAGTTCACTAAACACTTGGGGGCTAGCAATGATTTCAAATAATGTGTAAAAAAACCACGCAAATAATTTAAAAGAAAAAAAAGGCTTTTGATACACTATATTCCGCAGTACGGATTCTCAGTATAGGCAATTATCTCTGACTTGTGCCAAATTCTTAGGAACAATAAACACACATGCACACACAAACACACACACTCTTCTCTCAGGTACACACATAAGACCAGAGGTTACTTGCACAAGTGTGTGAAACCAACAAAGTGTGGGGCAAGTACGCAGATCGCAGGCTTAGTGATACTGAGTTCTGAAGGCCAAATTTATCTTCAGAGGATTAGCTCAAGATACTCTCTTCAGCACTTATAACTCTGAAGTTTGTTGAAAACCCTTCTACACTTGATTGTAAAACTTATGAATAGGTTTTTCCTGTGCCATTAGTCATGCAAATAATAAATAGTTCACGGCTATGGAAACCAAAAATGTCAGAGCTTGAGCACCTTTCCAAAACAAAATATTCGCTCTAGCTTTATTTGCCACTTCAGTAATCAGGGCAAAATTGTTGTAAGAAAATCTTTATATAATTCCCCAGGAAAATTAAAGATAAAAGGGTTTTTTTGTCCCTTGCCTTCCACTCTATAATTTATGTTCTACTTTTAAGCCCAAATTATTTCACATGGTTATTCAATTTTTAGATGCCTGCAATAAAGCTCTGCTATAGCAAAATGGATTTTGAAAGCAGGTTAGCCAAGAATCACACCACAACCATAGCCCTTAAAGGCAAGAAGGAATTTGCTGCTTTAACAAACGTAAAAATGCAAGATACTTGTACTGTCCTGTGAGGTTTCTGCAAATGGGAACATGTGGATGCAACATGGCTTCATTTTCCTTACACGATGGTACTATAGTTAACTAATCTACCAGAACACTTCTTGTGAGTAAGGCTAGGCAATCTTCCCATTACAGTTGCTTCCTTGTTCAGTAAAGTAATTAAGACCATCCCTGGTTTGTTAACAGAGGGTGGGTTTGGGGTTTTAATGCGGATCAAACCCTTGTGAGAGCTTCCATCTTCTATGGCAAAGCAGGTGATTTCACACATTCTAAAGCCAGATTGTATTCTTACACAACCTGTTCTGACTTCTGCTCTATCAAGGATTGATGCACAAGTTAGTTCTGCGTCACAAATTAGGATAACATCTACAATTAGGCATCAATTTCGAGAAACAGGGATACGTCAGCTCAGGAAAGATTCTCTCCCTATAATGCTGTTGGCAGGTCAGCTGTTATTATCCTACTTGATGGAATACATTGGTTAGAAGCACTATCTCAAGTCCTGAAATTCAGTACTCTCATAGGAAAATATTTCTCCTTTACTTATTTTTTTTTTAAAGAAGACAAAATATTTTAACTGCAAGTGGTCATAGGGATTCTTCTGTTTTCTCGTGATTATTTTAATTTATACAATAGTTGCTTCTGTCAACCCTGTGACAATGCCATCATAAGCTTTCAAAAGGAGATCACCCTGTAGATCGATTGGCTATGCCTTAAAGTTGCAGGTGCATACAGGAGGCTGAGGACCATAGTGAAGACTGTGGTTGCTGAACCCAAACGTTACTCAGAGATATCGACTGACAATCACTGCTCAATGCTGAATGAGGGCTGCTACCTCACTGTAGATTCACAGCACACGTCCTGCAAGCTCTGTGGTCGGGCGGACGAGGTGTGTGTCGCCTATGGTACTGGGCAAGTCCCGTCCAGGACAGCCATGTGTGAATGCTATTGTATGTTACATGCAGAACAGCACGGGTCATCCTTATCAGGCTGTGCAGCATAGTTCATCTGCCTCACGATTTCTGCAAAGAGTTCATCCACCATCGTTTTGCTCTTAGCAGAAGTCTCCATAAAGGGGCAGCCCCACTCTTCCGCAAGGGCTCTGCCTTCATTGGATGACACTTCTCTCTCACTTTCCAGGTCCACTTTGTTCCCAACCAAGATGACTGGCACTTTCTCATACCTACAAGGGAGTAAACGCAACATGTGAATTGTAGAAGTGAGTGCAAAGTTCGACGGCTAAAACGTATTTCCTTTCTTTCCTTCTTTTCTGCTAAAAATATTCTCCTTAGTTGCATGAAAAATTATTTGCTCCACTTGCCTTGACATCTACCTGAGGGCATTTAGGAGCTGCTCTTACAGTGAATCATAAATGGTTTTTCTGAAATTAGGTTAATTCATCAATTATACATCTTTTAAAATCAATTTACCTTTCCAGATATATTTGGAAAATTATTCTCAGAATCTCAGAATAAATCCTGTGAGGTGGATTAATTTAAACTTTTTTTCATTCTAGGAGATGCTTACTCAAATTTCAGTTGATGAGGTAATAGCTCTGCTGAGTAAATAGTTTATAATTGTCAGCATTTTACTCTGTTCCACAAATACATACACTGGTCATGTTCAAATAGTTCACAAGAAAAAAGATAGGAGAAATCAATAGGATGGAAACTATCAAATAAAACAATTACATTCTATCCTTTTATAAAACTGTCTAGATTAGCCAGTTGAAAGATGATCATGGTTCTTTTCAGCCTGACAAGGATTAAACATTTCTCAATCATTAGCTTTATTGATGTTGTCTCTTCTTTTCCTTCCTAATCAGAATGGGTATGTCATAGAATGAAGGTTTGTGCCCCTGTCCTCTATGCTATATGTTGAAACCTAAGCCCCACTGGGATTTTAAGAGGTTGGGACTTTGGGAGGTGACTAGGTTATGAAGGGGACTGGTGCCCCTTGATATATAAGAGAGATAGGTGAATACTCCCTTTCCTCTACCACTGTGTGAAGACACAGCATAAAGATGAGTTTATGAACTAAGGAAGCAGGCCCTCACCAGACATGGAATCTGCCTGAGGCTTCATCTGGGACTTCCAGCCTCCAGAACTGAGAGAAATGAACTCCAGTTATTTAAGCCACACGGTCTATGGTATTTCTGTTATACAGCCAGATAGATTAACATAAGGTGTCTGTGAGTTATGGCATTTGGAAAAGGCTCAACCAATAAGGATAACAAAAGGTATGAAAGGAAGAAAGAAAAAAGGCCCTACATCATTTTGGTACCTACAGATGATTCTCTTTACAATGCTTTCTTACCTTGTAAAAATACATGGTGCTACTCTGCATGTTTATTTACTATTTTCATTTATATTCTATGAAATGTTGCTAATATATTTTCATAGGGCTATTAGGTTTACTTTAAACATCATTTTAAAAGCTTCTCATGATTTTATAGTATAAATCAACGTGTGTGTGTGTGTGTGTGTGTGTGTGTGCGCGCGCTGTCCCCTAAGCAGAATGCATCTCTAATTTATCAAGTAAACCGCAAAGTTGCACACAAGCAACAACAAATGTGACTGGACACGGCTAATCTCTTAAGAGAAAACAGTCATGTGGGTCAAGACTTCACTGGGGCGAGACAGAGTTTTTATCATTCAGGAAACTGAGTAAGGGTGGGTGGTTAATATTCGTGAGAATACTTCCACAATTTTATCATTCTGTTAAAACGGGTCTTTCCTCTCATTCTAATTTGTAGAGTAAATTATATTTCCAAAAGAGTCTCACTTTCTTCACTGGCACTAGATCAAACTGAGAATGGTTTCAACAAGAGGGCATGCTCCAGGTGGTGTGCCACTTAGCAAACTGAAACATAAAAATTTAAAAATGTGGGGGAGATAGCAGTATCAAAGGTAAATCTAGAACTGTTACTCTGCAGGAAACGGACTTGGACAACTCCGATTTCTATCAATGACTGTTATGAATTTATGGTATACCACTCGTGCCTTCTGCTTTCTGGCCTCACCATACTGAGAGCTCTGGACATATGACACAAGAGTTTTCCCCATCTTCTAGGATTCTTACCTACCAACAATTACGTGTGCCCTGTGGCCTCTCAAAGGACAAATGGCAGCAAGATGAAGCTGCATTACAGCCACGGTGTATCAGCTGCTTTGCATACAAGCCCTCTTGACCTGCTGTGCAGAGAAGCTTGGCAGGAGCTAACACTGCCAGTCATATCAGGACAATGTCACTACCTTATTTTACTTGCAAAGATATAACTGCATTTCATTTTTCTTATGAGAGTATATATGCCACAGTGTGTTTTAGAACACTTGGTTTGGCCTGAGGTAACATAAACATTAATATAATTGAGTAAATGTATTGGTTAGATTTAATTAGGTTAAAATTAATTTCAATCTCTGTTTACAAGACTTAACAAAAAGGAAAGTGATTAGACATCATTTTCTATTATTAGCTAAGAAATAAACATTTTAGAGAATATTTTTAGTTTAAATACAGTATGCTTCCTACATAAAGAAAAATTTCTTACACTTCTAATTAAAAACTACAAATATGTGGATTTTCAAAACTTGTAAAAATATTGAATCATTATATTCTGTACAATACACTGTTTGAATCAAGAATCCAAATAAATGTTACCAACAGATTCTCAAAAGGGCAACCACAACCCTGCAAACACAGGTCCTTATGTGACAGCATTTAAGAATTGTCAAATGAAGATGACAATTTAGTTAGTATCAGAGAACCTGCCCATTACATCATTGTTTGAATTGTCAGTGATCTTTGCTAAGACCAACATGTTAAAATTCGTAGAGAAATCGACTGATATCCTCAGAAGACTTTCAAAGACTGAGTAAGGTCTTCAGGAAAAAAGGTATTAGGTACATTTCAGAAGAGCAGACAGTGAGAAATTCTGGCTCTTTCTGTTAACATTAAAATATGACACAGTGGAAAAGATTCTGAACCAGGATTCAGAGGCTCAGCTTCCAGCCCTGCCACTGAGGCTGCGAGCAAAGCATTTACTCTATTCACCTGTATTTCACTTCCTTGTCAGTAAAAAAGGAGTATCTGTTCCCAGTTAACACATGGGTTGCTGTAAAGCTGAAGAGATCACCTAGAAGCATCCAAATACTACATAAATGCAGGGCAGTACTTCTTTCCCCTCCTGCCCACTGCTGGGAGACTGCTGCATCTCCAAGTGTCAGACACAAGAGAAGCTGATGGAGGTGAGGAGCTCCTGGACAGGCAGGCAGAACAGACTGACCCTAAGTTAAGGAATGCGCAGCCACCTGCCACCAACCAGGTTTCCCCCTTTCTCCTCCCCCCTGCCAAGCATGAGCCTGAGGTTAGCAGGCAACAAGCAAAGCAGGAAAGCCTTCTCCAAATACGGGTATCTGTGGGGAAGCAAGCTCCAGGCTTTGGGTTGGGATGACAAAACGGGTCCCAGATGTAGGGGTAAGATTTGGAGAAACCAAATCCTCTTTAAGGAAAAAGGTGGGTGAGAAAGCAAAAGGAAAGAAGAGGTGCCTTGTGTTGACAGAGGAGAGGAGGGCATGGGGAAACCTTCCTCCCTTGCTGTAGCAAAACAGTGTACTAAAAAACAGACACATGACCCCAGACCCGGACTCCAGTTCCAGAACTGCTTCCAGCTCGTTTGGTGAATTTGGAAAATGAACTTAATCTCTTGGTTCTCCAGGTTCTTGAACTATAAGAGGAGCTGGACTAGAGAATTCCTAAGGTGCTCTTAAACTAAAAATCAGAACGCAGTGGGCCACCACTGATAATCAATACATAATCATTTACCGAGTGACTGCTGAGAGCTTTAGTACTGTTCTAAGCACAACCCCAACAGGCTGATCTTTACAAGGGGTGTGAAAGTATACAGGAGAACAAAAGCCAAAACGTAGGGGAAGTTGCCTCAGATCTCGTGGGGACAAGACACCAAGCAGTAGAGACTTCCAACTCTACCAGGGGAGCGGTCCCTGCCAGTGTGCGGGGGCTCAGGACCTCGGCTGCGGGATGGTTTTAGCCAAGGGAACATGGAAGGCTCTGATGAAAGCTGCCTGCACAGCATAAATAACTAGTGATAAATGATCAATGCATCATATATACATTTATACATGCACTTAACCTATAACTCTTTGAGTAAGAGCCTACTATGTGCCAGATGCTATTCTAGGCACTTAAGATACATCAATGGACGAAACAAAGATCTTTGCCCTCAAAGTGATGACAATCTAGCAGAGACAGACATCTGACACGAAGCAAATAATTACTGAAAGGTGTTAAGTGTCCCGCAGAAAGGAAAATGTGGGTCCGGGCAGGGACTGGGGGCACAAGGTGCAATTTTAAGTTAGATGATGAGGGTGGGCCTCATTGGGAAGGTGGCATGTGAGCAAGAAAGAGAGTAAGGGGAGTTTGCTGGGCGGGTGCCTGGGAAAGAGCATTCCAGAAGGACATGCAGGAGACAATGTAAAAGCCAGGGGAGCATCTGGGGTGGTTCAGGGCCTGCACATGGCCTGCAGGTTCCGTCTGTAGAACCTCCCACAGCTCCTGTGGCCTGAAGCCTCGTAGTGCAGGGAACTAGCTCACTGGCAGCTAAACAGAACTTGCAAGTCTGGGTGGCAGAGTGGCCTTGGAAGACAAATGTGCCATTTATAACAGGGTCAATTACACTATCTAGGAAGACCAGGCACTTGCATAGCAGCTGATGGCAATTCCTCTCATTTCATGTTCTAGATTCATTAATAGTGTTACAAGTTGCCTTCTACTCCCCCTTGTCTAACTAACATAATTTGGGAGTGAAATTAAAGATGAATTCCAAAGCCATTCAGTGTATGTATTACTGTGAACCTGATCACGAGCAGGATACCACCCTGTCTACGTCTTAAACATCAGCCAGCTGGTTTCTCCTCGACTTTAGCGTATCCTCCTTGACGTTTCCTTTAAGAGCATGACCAGGGTTATGGTGATGCAGATCAAACAACTTTTTGTTTAGAGTCTGCAGACACACACGTTTTATCAACATGCATTTTCACGTTGTTTATTGCATCCACGAGCATGATTACATAACGTATTGGTAAGTTAGTTCTTTTAAGCAGCTCTGTTCAATGCACTGAATGGAACATCAAAAATATAGACTGGAGTATCACTTTGCTATAG